AAGCCAGGTGTCCCCCATCTTAGATCTATGCATTTCATTTTTTTGCCCCAAGTGCAGTACCTTACAGTTTTAATTGTTGTAATGCCACATCAGTTGCAGTTGTAATTCCACATCAATTCCATCTCTAGAGCCTCGTGCGGTAATCTCTGTTAAAGGCTGAGGGTCTAACTCCATCCCTAGAAGGAAAAAAGGTATGATTTGGATTTTTTTTTTTTGGAGGGAGGAGAACTTGTTTTTAAACTTCTCCCAACAAAAAAGCCAACCCAAACAATGTCACAAGATAAGATAGCGCCATTGTAGGGTGCTTTTCTCCATCTGAACGCAGTGGAATCATTCGTCGAATGGCCTATTGTTGGAGAAGATGGGACAAGGAGTTCTAATGGCAATATTCGATATGTTACCGATAGAGAATTGCAGCCTTTGCCTTCCTGGTTCCTTCACGGTTATGTAATTATTTACTTACTTCATTCATTCATTTATATCCTGCCTTTCCCCCCAGTAATGGGACTTGGAGCAATTTACAATTTACTAAAAAGTGTACAGATTAAAATCTATACCAGTTTCTTATTGTTGTGTGACTCCAGGGTGTTTCCAGCAGCCAAATTGGGTGAATAGGGCAAAGGACTGAGACTCCCTAGTCAACTTGTGAGCTCCATTGAGGGCATTTAGATCATCATTTGATAAGAGGCAGTGCGGCATAGTGGTTTGAGTGTAGGATTATGACTCTGGAAACCAGGGTTCAAATCCCAGTCCAGCCAGGGATACTCACCTAAGGCACACTCTCTCAGCCTCAGGGGAAGGCAATGGCACACCTCCTCTGGATGAATCTTGCCAAGAAAATCCCATGACAGGGGCCTTAGGGGCATCATAAGCCAGGGCACACAACAACAACGATAAGACTACGTAGTTTCACTTAACACAGAGCAGTTCATAGGTCTGTCACTGTCGGTGATGAGTCCATAACTGCATTATTGAATGACAGCTAATGCTAATAATAATAACAACCCACCAAATTCCTCACTGACTGGCGGTTGCTGTCTACTTCAGTGCTTCTCAATCTTGGCTGTTGTTGCGTGCCTTCAAGTCATTCCTCACTTATGGCAACCTTAAGGTGAACCTATCATGGGGTTTTCTTGGCAAGATTTCATAGAATCACAGCATCATAGAATCCTAGAATTGGAAGAGACCCCAAGGGCCATCCAGTCCAACCCCTGCCATGCAGGAACTCTCAATCAAAGTATCCCCGACAGATGGCCATCCAGCCTCTGTTTAAAGTCCTCTACGAAAGGAGACTTCACCATTCTCTAAGGCAGTATCTTTCATTCTCCAAGGCAGTATCTTCCATTGTCAAATAGCTCTCACTGTCAGGAAGTGCCTCCTAATGTTTTAGGTGGAATCTCTTTTCCTGGAGCTTGCATCCGTTGTTCCGAGTCCTAGTCTCTGGAGCAGCAGAAAACAAGCTTGCTCCATCCTCAATATGACATCCCTTCAAATACTTAAACAGGGCTCTCATATCCCCTCTTAACCGTCTCTTCTCCAGGCTAAACAGACCCAGTTCCCTAAGTCATTCCTCATAGGGCTTGGTTTCCAGACCCTTCACCATTTTAGTTGCCCTGCTTTGAACACACTCCAGTTTCTCCACATCCTTTTTGAACTGTGGTACCCAGAACTGGACTCAGGATTATTCCAGGTGAGGCCTGACCAAAGCAGAATAGAGTGGCACCATTACTTCCCTTGATCGAGATACTATACTTCTATTAATGCAGTCTAAAATCGCATTGGCCTTTTTAGCTGTGGCATCACACTGTTGACTCATGTTCAACTTGTGGTCTACCAGGACTCCTAGATCCCTTTCACATGTATAAGTCTTGTTAAGCCAGGTGTCTCCCATCTTATATCTCTGCATTTCATCTTTTCTCCCTAAGTGCAGTACCTTACATTTTTCTGTGTTGAAATTCATTTTG